CACAAATAAGAAGTTAAGCAGTAGCAAAATCTAATTCATTATAGCTTCCATTTTGACTAGGTAGTACATTAATATGGTTCAAATTTCAATAGTAAATGGAGTTTGATTTTGGTGTTTGTTTTCTGTTTGTTTGTTTGTTTCCAGCTACATAGTATTTCATGGTATGGGTTCAATTTAACTTAACCATATCCCTTACTAAAGGATTTTCAGGTATTTTCAGTACTGATATGGGTAACCTTATGTATTAAACATTTTGTAGGTGTGCAAGTCTATCTATCAGATAAAATCCTAGAGGTAGAATCTCTTGGTCAAAGATGTACATTTATAATTTTTATAGGTACTACCAAACTGCCCTTCTTAGAGTCTGAACACTGGTACTTGCTTCCCCAAACCCTTAACACGAGGTACTATTAAACTTATTAACTTCTGTCAATCTGCTAGCTGGAAAATGGTATCTTCCTCCTATAGTTTTTAGTTTTACTTTTGGTATAGATCCTTCTGAGAAGAAATAAAGTGCAGATAAGAATGAAAACACAATGACAATAGGTTTATCCACCAAGTCACAGATGATATAAAAGGCACATTTTATAATAAATGAAAGAATTTTTTTTTATATAGCAGAAAGTAATAGGTGATATAGCAAGATATGTTTGGTTCAGCCTAAAAGTAGAAACAGGGTTAAAACAGGCCTAGAAAAATGGATACATATTAAATTAATAAGTTACTATGGCAAGCTAGCAATGGCTTCTGTTTCCCTTGAGTTGTAACTTTTTTCAATTTATAGAAATTTATACAGAAATTCATAAATTTATATACACAGAAATTATAAGACAGGAGACCCCCCCCCAAAAAACTGGAATTCTCTTTTGGAGGGAGGGCCCCTTGTAGTACAGGCTTCCACCACTAGGTAAGTGTTCTAGGAGACCATCAGCATCAGTGCACTAGTAGCACTGCTATGAGAGGTTGCATTTGGCTTTAGTGAATTTGGTTTTGGAGATTTTTTTCAATGAATTTGCCCATTTTATGATAGATGATTTATGAGTGCACTGGCCCACACCATGTTGAGTGTTCAGCAGTTTTTGGCCAAAAACGGCATAATCCCCATGCCCCACCCTCCCTATTTCATTTTGTTTGTTTCTCAGGAGAAAAAGAATCCTCATAGAGAAGCATTTGCCAATGTGGAAGAAGTGAAACAAAAAACAGTAGAAGCACTAAAAGGCATCAAAATTGAAGAGTTCAAAATCTGTTTTGAGCAGTGGAAAAAGTCTCTCAATGGATGTATTGCATCAAATGAAGAGGATTTAGAAGATGACTGAAGTGTAAACATGTGAGAATAAATATACAATTTTTTTATAGATAAATTCTAGGTTTTTGGGGGCCCCTCTGGTATATACAAATTTTAGGAATTTATATGTACACTTATGTTATGGAGATGGCTTCCTGCTATAATGCTTGTTTTGAAGATTCAAATTTATTCCAATTTGATCGCTAATTGGGGAACAATGTGAATGAGTCCATCTGTGAGAAACACTAAGTGTAAACACAAAAACCTGCACCCTAATGTACCATGCAGCATAGGAATAACCAACAACATTCCAACTAATTATCCACTAAAGTTTTATCATAACATTATAACACTCCAGTTACATCTTCAGGCTCCACTACTAATTCTAGTTCTTTTGTTATTTACATCACATCTGCATACATCACTTTCTCTGCTAAAGTCTTGAACCCCTATAAGTTAGCTATGAGATTTGAAATCAACTTCTTCCAAACTCCTGTTAGTTTTGCTATTTTGAACTCCTCCCATGAATCACAAATGTCTTTAATGGCATCAAGAATGGTGAATCCTTTCCAGAAGGTTTTCAATTTACTTTGTCCATGAGAGGAATCACTACCTATGGCAGCTACAATGTTGAAAGTTGGAATTACTCCTTCACCCATGGGCTGCAGAATGAATGCTGTGTTAGCAGGCATGAAAACAACATTCATCTCCTTATACATCTTCATCAGAGCTCTTGGGTGACCAGAGCTCATTGTCAATGAGCAGCAATATTTGGGAAGGAATCTTTTTTCTGAGCAGTAGGTCTCAACAATGAACTTAAAATATTCAGTTAACCATGCTGTAATCAGATGTGCTGTCATCCAGGCTTCATTGTTCCATTTACAGAGCACAGGCAGAGTGGATTTAGCTTAGTTTTTAAAGGCCCTAGGATACGCAGAATGGTCAATGGACACTGACTTCAACTTAAAGTCACCAGCTGCATTAGTCCCTAACAAGAAAGTCACCCTGTCCTTTGAAGCTTTGAAACCAGGCATTGACCTCCCCTTTCTAACTATAAAAATCCTAGAAGGTGACTTCTTCCAACATAAGGCTGTTTTGTTGACATTAAAAATCTGTTAGCCCGGTGCAGTGGCCTAAGCCTGTAATCCCAGCACTTTGGGAGGCTGAGATGAGAGCCTGAGCAACACAGCAACACCCCATCTCTAAATAATCATCATCATAATCTTCATCATCTGTTGTTTAGCATAGCTACCATCATCAATGATTTTAGCTAGATCATATGAATATAGTTTCTCCATCAAAACTTGTTGTTTTACCCTGCACTTTGATGTCATGGAGACAGTTTCTTTTCTTAAACCTCATGAACTAACATCTGCTAGCTTCAAACTTTCCTTGGGAAGCTTCCTCATCTCTCCCAGTCTTCACAGAATTGAAGAGAGTTAGGGCCTTGCTCTGGATTAGGCTTCGGCATAATGAAATGCTGTGGCTGGTTTGCTCTTTTATTCAAACCACTCAAATTTTCTCTGTATCAGCAATAAGCCTCTTTTGCTTTATCATTCATGTGTTCACTAGAATAGTACTTTTCTTTCCTCCAAGAAATTTTCTTTTGCATTCACAACTTGGTTAAGTGGCGCAAAAGGCCTGGGCTTATCTAAGCTTTCAACGTGCCTTCCTCACTAAGTTTAATCATTTCTAACTGTTGATTTAAAGTGAGAATCATGTAACTCTTCCTTTCACTTGAACACTTAAGAGGCCATTGTAGGGTTATTAATTGGCCTAATTTCAATATTTTTGTGTCCCAAGATAGAGAGGCTCAAGGAAGGGGGAGGAAAGAGGAAGGGATACAGGGAGAAAGAGGGGGATGGAGGAACAGATATGAGGGAGCAGCAGGTCGGTGAAGCAGTCAGAATACACACAACATTTTTCAATTAAGTTCACTGTCTTACATGAGCACAGTTCATGGTGCCCCAAAACAATTCAATGTAACATGAAAGATCACTGATTGCAGATCATGATAATGGATATAATAATATTGAAAAAGTCTGAAATATTGAAAGAATTACCAAAATGTGTCAGAGACATGAACTGAGCACTCATGTCTCTGAAAAAAACAACACTGACAGACTTTGCCACAAAACCTCAATTTGTAAAAAATACAGTATCTGCTAAGTGTAACAAAGTAAGGCACAATACAACAAGGTATGCTTGCACTACTTAACCATTTCATATGTATAAAACTTTGCTACCGTTTTTATTACGTTTCCATATTCTTTTTATGTGTTGCTGATGAAGTTTTTGAGTGTTATTCCCCAACCCCATCCTTCCCATGAGGCTCTGTGTTTTTTATTATCCAGTTTCCATAGTGTGTGATTTTTAGGAACACAAATGCCATGTTATTGCAGAGCTAAAAAAAAAAAAAAATCACACAACAGTGTCTCCTCAAATACACTATTCGTTATTAGACACAGAATTTAAAACTGGATAAGTCACCAATCCAAATCAGTAAGATTTCAGTTTTCACTGTTTAAAAATTTCAAACTAAAATGCTAAAAGAAATTATTCCATTTGCAATACTATGATAATAGTGTAGAAAAAGTTTTCAGTTGTTACACTTTTGTTTTCTAAAGACTTTATGAATACTACAAGATGGTTCTAAAGGAGAGCAAACAGTACTAATTGCAAAAGGAAAAACATGTGTGATTCATAGAGCCAAGCTGTCCAGCATGTACCCTCTGCTGTCCTTGGGCTGTGCCCTTCCAAATCTCACAAAAATGCTACATTTACTTCCATTTCCATGCTTTCATTTGTCTTGCAGGAGGTCTTTCCCCTTCTCCTTGGTCTCGCGGAATCTTCCCCTCCTGACCCAAGTCCATCACAGATCCTTCCCCTCTCCAGCTCTGCTCTTTATCCATCCCCCACCCCTCTGAGCTCCTATGGCACTTATTGTTGGATTTACACAATTTTAGTCCTGCATGGTTTGCTCATTTCATTTTTGTCCCTTGGATACGCAAGCTCCTCAGGGACAGACTCTTCCCAGTACTTTGAAATCCACACAGCTTAGCTGAACATAGAGCACAGTGTAAATGCTCAAGAAGTGTCTGCTGCTGATGAAAAATAGGACAAAATTATGGGCAGCAAATAATCTTCTGATTTTCTTAGTTAAAATAACTATTTCTGGTAGGTACTTATCATTTCAATTACTTTCAATAAGCTAAAATTTTAATTTAGCTATGCTGAAAATATATATGGCCACTAAGGAATTGAAATCCTGTAAAATTTGCACTCTGATCTCTTACTATGAAAAAGGCTAAACAAGAAATTATTGTTGTCATACAAAACATTTTTAGATTGTGGACTCCATTTCTACATTATAAAATGTATGTAAGCAATTTTATTTGTAGCAGTTTTATCACAGTGCCAAATTATCCCAGAGCAATGGTTTTCAAAGTTTTCTTTTGGAAGCAGAAATTTTTTTTTGACAAATGGCTTACTGAAATTCTACCATACAGAAAAAAAGCAGAGCAGATCTTGCTAGTGTGGAGGGAGGGGTTTACAGTTCTGCCTGCCCCACCCCAGTCTCCAGCTGCATTGACCCTTAAGGCATCTCCAAGAATGTGCTAAGAAACACTCATGAGATAATCAGGAAACTGCTAGGAATAGAAAAAGAATTCATTAATTTTTAAAAATTTCAATCATCACTAAAATGAAAACTTACCCATTTCTACTGAAAACTCTTAGCCAAGCTTTGAGGTTTGGTCCTAACAAACATAAACAAGGTATAGTTGTAAAGGTAGATAAAAGAACTGCAAATGAAAATGTTTCCAACACAAGCCTAGAAAAAAAAAACCTTATTAATTTTTTCAAAAAGTGTTAAGGGTACACACACACATCTTTCTTACATAAATAAGTTAAATATAAAAATATTTTCTTATACTTTGAAAGGTAACATGACCACCAAAATGATGACTAAAAATAATCCTACTACCAAAATGCAAGCTTTAAAAAACAGTCTAGCAAATATATGGCTTTAAAGATAGACTTCAAACATTTAATGACCCTAAGATCAATACTGAGACTTCTGCAAAAAAAAAAAATAAAATAATTAGCTTTCTTCCTCAAATGTCTGAACTTTCTCTACAACCAGTGGGTCAACTTTAACTTATATTGGAAGCATGTGGAGAACTGGATAAACCAAAGATTGGGGCTCCACCCCTAGGGCCCAATAGAAGCCAGAGAATTTGCATTTCAATTAAATGCTGACATTTGCCGGTTGGAAGACCACATTTTGAGAACCACTGTTTCAAACATTCATTCTACTGTAAAATGGATTAGAAACCACCACTTTCCATTACAAAGGTCTTGTCTTCCCCTATCTAAAAAATAATAGCCTGTTAGTGTATGTATGTGTAACTTTTTTGTATAAATATATGTACAAAATTGTACACTCAGCAATATATGTGTGTAAGTGTGTGTATCACACACATCTCATCATTAATTTCACCGTGATCATCAACCACAGCTAAATTGAAGTTTCTCAAACTACAATAAATACTATATGAGAAACACTGGCCAGGTGCAGTGGCTCACACCTGTAATTCCAGCACTTTGGAAGACCGAGATGGGAGCATCGCTTAAGCCAAGGACTTTGAGACCAGCCTAGACAACATAGCAAGACCTCATTTCTACAAAAAAATTAAAAATTTAGCCAGGTGTGATGGTGCGCGCCTATAGTCCCAGCTACTCTGGAGGCTAAGGCAAAAGGATTGCCTAAGCCCATAAGGTCGAGGCTGCAGTGAGCTGTAACTGTGCCACCGTATTCCAGCCTGGGCGACAGAGTGAGATCTCAACTCCAAACAAACAAACAAACAAACAAACAAACAGAAACTACCCATGAGATTGGTTTCTACTAATTTAAAATTGGTTCACTGTGAAAATGTGTTGAGTTAAATTTTGCCTTTAAACTATAAACGTGGGCTTATTAAGTATGTGAATATAGGAACCTACTGACTTTTGTTAGGAAAACAAACTTTTCAAGTACTACAGAATCACATTTACTAAGAACTGATATACTAATTATAACAAACTTCTGCATACCATTATAATAAGTTCTCTTAGGAGTTCTAAGGGCCACACATTTATTATTTCTTATTGGTATGGTTTCTCATCTACTCCACCCTCCCTACCCCACCCCACCTCCCCTGCCTTCTCTCAACATGCAGTGGGTAATAAAGTCTAGGTGACAAAACCATTTAATGAATTAAGTTATTCTATTGTTTTTTTAAAAGAATAACACTGCTAAAGATGGGCAATGGTATCCTTACTTGATCCATTAATTAAGCACATCATGGTTTTTCTCTAATTGCTAGGAATTAGCCCTGTTAGGTAAATGGGTGTTTTAAAATATACACTTAAGGTAAAAATGTCAAACTTACTCTATGAGTGGTGCTCCATAAAGAACAAAAATTACATGAAAGGAGAAACAAGACATAAGGAAGTAGATACAGCATTTCAAAAGTCTGGTTACCTAAAAGAGAAATTAATAATTTGAAGAATCAAGAGAATACCTAAAAGACAATACATTCTTCCATTTTTTTCTACAGATACAATTTGTTTCCATAATGTAGAACAGTTGAATGGTCTTTAGATTTGGGTATCCTGACGTCAGATTACATATCCTGTGCCTAGTCATATGCACAACCCTCAATACAGACTGAAAAATCCTAAAAGGCAAATATTACCCACCCTCATTCCATCCATCCATCCAACACTACAGTTAAAAAAGGTTTGTTTCTATGGTATGTTTTGAGCTATAATGTTAATCACTATTTATTAAATCCTTATTGATTACAGAAAGCTAGGATGCAAACAATACAGTCCTTATTATGTGATAATACATGAAAAATCTGCAGAAAATAATGACTACAATTCTTTTTTTCATTTTAAGACAAAAACTCAGGCTGAGTGCAGTGGCTCATGCCTGTAATCTCAGCACTTTGGGAGACTGAGGTGGGAGCATCTCTTGAGCCCAGGAGTACAAGACCAGCTTGGACAACATAGCAAGACCTCATCGCTACAAAAAAAAATCAAAAAGTCAGCAAGGCGTGGTGGTGCATACCTTTAGTCCCAACTACTTGGGAGGCTGAGGTGAGAGAATTACTTGAGCTCAGGAGGTCAAGGCTGAGGTAAGCCATGATTGTACCACTGTACTCCAGCCTGAGCCATGGAGCAAGAACTCCCAACTCAAAACAAACAAAAAATAACTATGAAAATTGCACCAAAAGGCTAAATGCTAAATAATTCCCCAAATCATATTCATATTATTACATAGTCCATATGAAAAAGGACGCAAATGTGTATAAATAAACACACTGCGCCTTCTTGATTTGGAGCTTAAGAAGATATGATAGAACACATATTGTGCTTTTTAAGTCACAAGGCAGCAAAGGTGTTTTAAGTGACTTAACAGGGAGATTGCACATAGTAAGGAATAGTTAAGGACTTTATTAAAGTAATAGCTAAGTGTTACACTGCAGTGAATATTCCAGAAAATTGACTCTAATTTCTGAAAATTTTGCTTAGTCAAGGAAGGCCATGTTGGAAACACCAGTTACCACAGGCTGACACTGCAATTTCTGAAAAACCCATTAAGTGGCATTCAAAAATGCAACAATAAATGAAAATAAACTTCAATGTCTTACAGAATAAGGTTTAAAAATAGACTGCCACATGTACTTATTTTCAATGGTGACATAAAACAGTGATTATATAGGCTTGCAATGTCACAATATCCACTGAAGAAGTCATAATTCCACAATTAATGCATGACAAGAAGCAATCAAGCATTGCGGGCAGCTTTCCAGCAAGTAACAACAGGTTTATTTGAAAAATATGCATATATCAGATTCCCTTTACTCATTGTAAACAACCTAATGAAGACTTGACTAATACTTTATTCTCCCATTAAAAGAAACACTAGCTCTATCAAAAATCAGTTAACAAGAAATAAGCCTTACCTTGTGTGATAATGAACTTCTTTTAGAGGATGCATTTGGTTTCACTACTAAATATAATACTAGGTTGACAGCAGTTACGAAACCAGAACAGATGCACAACCATGTCAAGTGTGTTTCCAATATTGAGAAGTTCTCCAAGAAAAATGATGGAATGAAGACACTTAGGATAATTGAAAATATGCAGAAAAGATGGGCATACAGTAGTCTCTTGATATCAGTATCTTTCATGGTGTTTTCTTGGGTGTCTATCTAATAAAAAAAAAATTAAGAACATATGCAATAACGACTTTTTCCATTGTCCTAAATGTTTCAACCCCTAAAAGCCATAAACAAGTCAATTTTCTATGGGGAATGTGTTTGTTTCCACATTCACCGGAAGATGCATGTGTGCAAATGCACATAAACTTAACATTCTACTCTACCTTAGATTTTCCTAATATGGTACAAATATCCCTCAGAGACTAAACATGACAAACTAATTTCTTTTTTTTTTTTTTTTTTTTTTTGAGTCAGAATCTCTCTCTGTCACCCAGACTGGAGTGCAGTGGCAGCTCCTGGCCACCACAGCCTCGATCTGCTGGGCTCTGGCAATCCTTCTGCCTCAGCCTTCCAAGTAGCTGGAACTACAGGCGTGCACTACCACGCCCGGCTACTTTTTTTATTTATTGTAGAGATGAGGTCTCGCCAAGTTGCCCAGGCAGGTCTCGAACCCGTGAGCTCAGGCAATCCACTCACCTCAGCCTCCCAAAACGCTGGGATTAAAGGCTGAGCCACCAAGCCTGGCTGACAAACTAATTTCTTAACTACTATCATTGGCTTCTATAAAAGCATCATGTACTAGGGCCAATGAAGCAATTCATTTTATTTTTTTGCCCAAAACAGAGAGATGAAATCAGCTGCATAGAGTAAATGGCCCACCCCTGTGTAACATATGCATTCTAGAAACCCCATGAATACACTTTGGCTAAATTGTTGGCTTTAAAAAAAAAAAATCCTTTTTGAAACATTGCAGCAGTTCACATTCTAGCAAATGCCAAGCAACACCAGGTGCACACTTGAATACTCAAACGGTGGCCAGTGCAACCAAGAAAAAGTTCAAAGAGCACCACGCTAAGTTAAGGTATTTCAATGCTCCAAAAATACCAAAATGGCAACGTCTGTTACAGGTGCTAAATTCCAATCAAAAGTAGAGCAAGAAAGGAAGGAAGAAAAAAATTCACTCTCTAGATACACACAGGCATTTAAGTTACCTGAGAGTTTATACATTTATATCGACTCATATTTTAAAAGGACTTTATTAATTTAAAGTAATAGTCAACATGTTACACCGTGGTGAATATTTCAGAAAATAATGTCCTGAAAAAATATATATGTTGGCTGGACTCGGTGGCTCAGCCTGTAATCCCAGCACTTTGGGAAGCTGAGGCGAGTGGACTGCTAGAGCTCGCGTGTTCGAGACCAGCCCAGGAAACTTGGCAAGTCCGCGTCTCTACAATAAATCAAAAATTAGCTGGGCGTGGTAGCGCGCACCTGTAGTTCCAGCCACTTGGAAGGCTGAGGCGGAAGGATTGCAGGAGCCCAGCAGGTCGACGCTGGGATGGCCGTGAGCATTCCACCGCAGCCTGGATGACGGAATGAGACTGCAACTCAAAGTGTGTGTGTGTGTGTGTGTGTGTGTGTGTGTGTGTGTGTAATATAAACACACACGACAGAAGAATGGGGTGGGCGGAGGGCGCCCACCAGTGCAAAAAGCAGAAGGGAGAATCTAGGTCTTATCCTAATAGCGCTCATCTGATTCACGTAAGAATTTTCAAAGGTAAATCTTTTACTGATAAGAAAACAGGATAAGCAGGTGAGGAGGCAAGTCCAAGGTACCAAGCCTAAAGCCATCTCAAAACAAAACAGCCTCTTTGACATGAAGACGCACAACACCAGGGATGGGGAAGAAAACGGATGACAAGAGAAGACAAAAGGAAAGTTTCCCACTGATTCTATCCTCAGCTGACTCCGGGCGGGCAAGGGGATCAGAAATCCATTCTCTCAACAGATGCCCCTTTGGACACTTTTCTGGGCCGCCCTCAGAGAGTCGCAGATGCCATCCGCGGGTCTGGATCTAAACACAGTGAGCTATACCCAAACTCCAATGCTTCCTGAATGAATGAAGGAGCCCGAGTAAGTGAAGTGCATGCCCTTCCTGAGACACCTGCGCCATATCAGGCCTCGCGTGCCCCCGAGGACGCCTGGCAGGTGCGCCTGGGCCTGCCCGATGGGCAGGTATAGGCCTCGAAAAGGCGCTCCCGGAGCTGCTCCAGGGGAGCCTTCGCGGGGGTCGCCGGACCTTCCCCTGCAGCCCCGCCCCATCGTGGGTCGCCCGGGACTCCAACCAAGCTTCCGCCGGCGGGAACGCGGACAACCGGGAACGAGCTTGGAGGCAATATTCAAAGAGCGCAGGTGTTGCGGACCAGGTAAGACTGAGGGACGGGGACAGAAACTCGGGTCGGAAAAAGTCTCTGTCCACCAGGGCAGCCTCGGGTCACGCCTGAAGAGTGGCGCTCAGGCGGAGAGGGAGCGCGGCGGACGGGAGGCGCTGAGGCGCGCAGCCGCTTCGGCAGTGGGGGAAGGGTGACTTGCATCCTTCCCGGGAAGCCAGCGTGTCGGGGGCGTCCGGCGGGACTTACCTAACTCCCGCCCGGGAAAGGGAAGGAGGGAACTGCCGCCTCCCACCATCAGGTACCACGGCTGGCCTTTGCGCAGGCGCCGGTATGTGGGGCGGAGTCCGAAGACGGGTCGACCAATCGAAGGAAGGGAGGGGCGGGCAAAAAAGCAGCCCCGCCTACCCGCTCGCGTTTATTCCTCCCGCGGCTTTCCAGGGGTGGGATAGGCGGTACCAGAGGACCGTAGGGCCGGAAGTGGGCTAACGTAACCCGGAAGGGGAATCCTTCCCCGGTTGTAGTGTTGAGGTTTTCAAGTTGTTGCTGCTGTTTTTGTGGTTAAGGGAGCCGTCGGAAGGATGGTGTGCGAAAAATGTGAGTTAAGGGGCGGTTTCTGCGGGAGGAGTAGGCTGGAAGAACCTATACGTGGACTCCCCCGGGAACTTTGCCTTCTCTTTGTTTTTTTCTTCGCCCGCAGGTCTCTGAATCTGGCCGCTGCCTTCCTACCCTGTGACCCTTCTTTGCTTATCCCCAACGTCCGTGTAGTCCTGTATATTTTGCGTCCAGAGTAGTCTCAGTTCTGTACCTCTTTATTTCTGTTGCCTCCCCCAGCCCCGGATCTCATCAGCTCCCCTTCGTATAAAAATGCTCAATTAGATTCCGGGCCCATTTTCTCTCTTGCATTTTCTAATCTCTTTTCTTTCACTCAATAAGTATTGTACCCCCACCAAATGCTAAACACTAGAACCGAAGGGTGAGTGTCTTATCTATTCTTATTCCACATTATGACAGGATATGGCAAGCCCAGTAGATGTTTGAATTGAATCTCAACATAAGTACAGTTAATCATTTACCTAGTTTAAGACCTTTAATAGGCCGGGTGCAGTGGCTCACGCCTGTAATCTCAGCACTTTGGGAGGCCGACGCGGGAGGATGGCCTGGGCCCAGGAGTTCAAGACCACCCTGGGCAACGTAGCGAGACCTTGTCTCGACAAAAAAAATGTGAAATGAGTTAAGTTTGGTGGTGTGTGCCTGTAGCCCAGCTACTTTGGGAGCCCAGGGTGAGAGAATTGCTTGAGTCCAGGAGTTCGAGACCAGTCTAGATAACATAGTGAGACCTGGTCTCTACAAAAAAGCAAAACATTAGCTGGGTGTGGTGGCACACGCCTGTAGTCCCAGCTACTCAGGAGGCTGAGGCGGGAGGATCTACTGAGCCCAGGAGGTCGAGGCTGCGGTGAGCAGTGCTCATGCCACTGCACTCCAACCTGGGCAACAAAATGAGACCCCGACTCAATAAAAAAAAGTCCTTTAATAAATTCTCAGTGTGCAGAGAATAATTTGGGGTTCCAATATTTGAAGTCTGATGTTCAGGGCCCTCCACAATAAGGCCCCAGCTTATCTTTCCAAACTCATCTCTACTGACCCTTACCCACATCACACTTTGACTGAACCAAGCTACTCTTTGTGCCCATGTGTACTCTGAGCTTTCCATGCCTTTCCACAGGATGTGCACCTTACTGAGTTTGCCTTTATCCTCTTTCCTTTGTGTTCGCAATCCTGTTGCCCCATATTCACATCCTCTCTATCGCCTTCTCCTTAAAGCTTTCTTGGGTTTTCTTAGCCAGAGTTATTTCTTGCTGCATGGAATTTCTCCTAGTACTTTAGCTCTCAATTTGTTTTAGCATTCAATTATTATACCTTTTATTTTCTAGCTTATATTTTGGTTAAATGATTCTTACTTTTTGGGGGAATCTCTGATCCCTTTGAGAATCAGGTGAAAGCTGTAAACTTTTGCCAGAAAAAAAGGATATGCAAAAAGTTTGTGTAAAGTTTTACCTTTCACATATCTCCCCGCCTTTTTTTTTTTTTTTGTCAGGGTCTCACTCTCTCACCCAGGCTGGAGTGCAGTGGCATTATCACGGCTCACTGCAGCCTCAACCTCCTGGGCTCAGGTGATTCTCTCACCTCAATCCCCTGAGTAGTTGGGACTACAGGGATGTGCCACCACACCCAGCTAATGCTTTCATTTTTTTTTTTTTTTTTTTTTGTAGAGAAGAGGTCTTGCTATGTTGCCTAGGCTAGTCTCAAACTACTGGACTTATGCAACTCTCTCACCTTGGGCTCCCAAAGTTCTGGGATTACAGGTGTGAGCCACTGCATCTGACCCTATAAGCCATCTTTTTATCCTGCACATTTTACTGAGGGTCATTGATTTGTTGCCCACAGTTAATATTTTGAGTCCCAGTTCACTGGTTCCTTTCCCAGCATTAACAGGCTCCTACTGCAATAGGACTGTTGACACCACTGTGAATCTTAGACACAATGTAATGTATTTATTAGATAGCAGATTTTAATTCCCCTTTTACTATCTTTTTATAATAGGTGAAAAGAAACTTGGTACTGTTATAACTCCAGATACGTGGAAAGATGGTGCTAGGAATACCACAGGTATTTTTTTCTTTTAGAAAATAGAATTGTAAGCAAATACTTTCTGTGAATAATATTTTAGCTTTTAGATTGTACAATGAAATTTTATGTGTTCAAAGTATTTCTTCTGATAAACATTAAAATATCGTGTCTCCCAATACTTTTATATCTTCTATTTTGTTCTCTCAGTTACATATTCATATTGCTAATATGATAGCAGGAGATAGCAAAATGATTAAATGATTTTTCAAGTGATATCTGTATAACAGTATTGGGTTTGATTCAGCTTAATTAAAGTCTGTATTTAATTTTTCCTCCCCTCACCTCATTTTTATATTCTTTTTTTTTTTTTTTTTTGAGTTGGAGTCTCACTGTGTCACCCAGACTGGAGTGCAGTGGCTGCTCCCGGCCACTGCAGCCTCGACCTGCTGGGCTCCAGCGATCTTTCTGCCTCAGCCTTCCGAGTAGCCGGAATTACAGGCACGCGCTACCATGACTGGCTAATTTTTAATTTATTGTAGAGATGAGGTCTCGCCAAGTTGCCCAGGCGAGTCTCAAACCCGTGGGCTCAGGCAATCCACTCACCTCAGCCTCCCAAAGGCATGGGATTACAGGCTGAGCTACTGAGCTCGGCTCATTTTTATATTCTTAAACAAGTCATTTAAGCTCTTTTCACTTTCATTATTATTAAATACATACTATAAAGTATGTTTTCAAAAGAAAGGAAAAAAACATTTTTACTGTATTCAAGATCTATGACACCAAAGTAGTGGCTTCTAGATTTTATGGAAGTTAGGGTAAATGTAGAACTATTCCTAAAGTACTACCCTGAGTCTGAGAAATAAAATGATTGTATTTTATACAAATTTTTATTGTTTCTCCATAAATATTTTCTTTTTAAGTAGTGTCTTAATAATCTGTCTACTAAGTGGGGATTTTAAAAATGTAGATATAGGCTAGTTTGTTGGTAGAAGGTCAAAGAATGATATTTGAAATTGTTACTTGCTAGGTATTAAATGGGTAGCAGTAACCCAATAAAATATATTTTATTTTAATACAGAAAGTGGTGGAAGAAAGCTGAATGAAAATAAAGCATTGACTTCAAAAAAAGCAAGGTGGGTAAGAGCATGCATCGAGAGGTCATAGAAATGTTCCCTCTTTACTATTAAGGCTGCTGGATTGAATTTGGTGTGTCATGCCACTGTGATAAGATATAGAGCTAGGCAGTTTCTAGCGGCTAAGCCAAGCTGCCTGTTACTACCTGTTGCTTTCTCCCTGTCCTCTTCACAGTATCAGTTTATGAAAATATTGCTACTCTCTTTTTATAATTTCACCAGAAAACATAACTTATTTTATCCCCTTAGTTATCCTATAAAGCAGAGGCAGAAGGGAAATGTGGAAAGATCATAAGCTTTGGAGTCAGATTTTAATTTGAATGTAGACTCGCTGTCTAGCCCTATGACCGCAAGCAAATTAAGCCCAGTGTCTTAACCTTTCTGAACTTTACTTTTTAATTTGAGAATGAGAATAAAAATGTCTCTTATCTTAAAAGCAATTTTGATATCATGCTTTATCACATCCAGTCTTAAGGTTTCCATGAACCTTTCCAGCTGCCACGGTTTCCTTGCTTCCCTTCATAGCAAATGCCTTCCAAAGCCTTATCTAGATGCTTTCAGTGTCCTTACGTTCCTTTCTGTCCTTGAGCTACTCCATTCATGCTTTCTTCTCCACCGTAGCCCTGAAATGCCTCATCCAGATCACAAGTGACCTTTAAAACTGACGACCACTTCTCTGTTCTTATCTCTTAATAACTGTCTCTTTTTGACAACCCTTTATTCTCTTGGCTTCTTGGGATACCACACTCTCCCGGTTTTCCTCCCAACTCACTGGCTGTTCTAAATTTAGTGCCTCAGGACTCAATCCCAGACTTATTTTTTCATTTTTATAAATACATAAACACTCCTAAAGTGACTTTAATCCACTGGCTTTAAATTCAAACTGTATGTTAGTGACTCCCAGATTTGCCCATCTAGTCCTGACTTCTCTGAGCATCAAGCACAGGTCTGACTGCTTACTTGACATGACTCATTTAATGTCTAATAGGTCACCTCTTTCTTCAGTCTTCTCATCATCGTAAGTAGCACCACTGTTTACTCCAGGTGTTCAAGTGAAAAGCTAGACCTCTTCACTGAGTTCTCCCTTTCCCCACTTCCCATACCCATCATCAAGTTCTTTGATCTACTTCCAAAATACAGCCTAACTCCTTCTTCCGTCCACCTTGCTGCTATTACCCTGTTTCAAACTGCTGTTAATTTCTTATTTGGATACTGTAATAACTATCTGTTGTCTTGCTTCTCTGGTTTCCTATTGTTGTCTATAGAAACCAGAGTGGTTCTTTACAAAGATTATGTAATTTCTCTGCTTAAAACCTGCCCCTGTTTTCCCTTTCACATAGAAAAAGATCTAAGCCCCTTACCATGTTCTTACAAGATCCTCCTTGATATGCCTGCTTCCACCTCTGACTTCCTGTTGTACCACACTCCTCCTCGGTCATCATGTACCATCCTCATTAAATATGCCAGGCCCCCTCCTATTAAGGAGATTTGTGCTTGCTGCTTCCTCCCAGAGCTCATTTTTCAGGTCATGTGTATCAGACTCTTTCTTGTTATTTGGGTCTTAGCTTAAGTGTCACCTCCTCAGGGAAGATTCCCTAACCAACATCTAAACTAATCTCTTCTCTCTTTCCCCTCATCTTAGTCATAATATCCTGTGTGAATTTTCTCTATTTACTATCTAAAAAGCTTGCTTGTTTTGTTAGCTTGTCTGTTTCCTTTTTTATTGCATCTCTCTTATTAGAACATTGGCTTGATGAGGACAGGGACTTTGTTTATCATGTTCATCTTTGGTATTTAGAACAGTAACTGGCATATAGAAAACATTCAGTATATATTTGCTGAATGAATAAATACTTGTTTTATGACATCATCCCAAGGGTTAGAAATAACAACAGTAAAGCTTTAACTGCATGTAGTAACTAACACATAGTAGGTGCTTATTAAATAATAAATATAAAACAGCATAGCAGACTCACTCTTTAGTGCAGTGTCACACTTCTTGTTGTTGACTGATTTATTGGTGTCTTCTAAGACCATTCGATTTTTATTGACTAAGTTGTTACTTGTAAGCATTGTAGGGTTTTTATATACTTTAAGTTCTTTTATGCTCCCACACTTCAGTATCATTAAAAAGTAGCTATTGGCCGGGCTTGGTGGCTCAGCCTGTAATCCCAGCACTTTGGGAGGCTGAGGCGAGAGGATTGCCTGAGCCTGCGGGTTTGAGACTTGCCCGGGCAACTTGGCGAGACCTCGTCTCTACAATAAATCAAAAGTTAGCTGGGCATGGTAGCACACGCCTGTAGTTCCAGCTACTTGGAAGGCTGAGGCGGAAGAATCGCCGAAGCACAGCAGGTCAAGGCTGTGGTGGCCAGGAGCGTGCCACTGCACTCCAGTCTGGGCGACAGAGTGAGACTCCAACTCAAAAAAAAAAAAAAGTAGCTATTACTTTTGGGTACTCTAAATATTTCATTTTGGAAAGTGTATTCCTGTATTGCTTTGAGCCTATGATATTGTAATTTATAAGATATATCATTACTTTAAGGGGAAAAAAAGCTCTGCCAATTAATTATAAGATTTAGAGATTGAAATATATATCTTAGAATATGATTTTCAGAAAAAGTAATCTTCAGACATACAGGTTCACAATGAATTGAGCTTTTGGAAAGGAAGAACATTGCCTATCTTCTCTTGTGAAGAGAAAAGTAATATTGTTTGGGGATGGAAAAATTAACCTTTGAAAATGGGCTGTTGTGCTGTTCCCCAAGAGAAGGCTCCAGGTCTAGGGCAGTGTTTGGTATTCAGTATATGAGGATCATTACAACAACTCATTTTGTAGTTAGGGAAGCGCTTTTAAATCAAACTGTTATTGCCAGTTTAGGGGGAAGTATTTCTTTTTTGCACTCTAGTCACTATAAAAAAAATTTTTTTTGTATTAGAAGCCCCTTTATCCAAGGGGATTGGACAGTTAATTAAAAACATCAGTTAATCAGTTAATGTAGGTAATCATTAAAAGATATACATACCAGCTGGGTGTGGTGGCTCACACCTATAATCCCAGCACTTTGGGAGGCCTAGGGGAGAGGATTGCCTGCACCCACAGGTTTGAGATCAGCCTGGGCAACTTGGCGAAACCTCATCTGAACAATAAATCAAGAAAAATTAGCCGAGCATTGTGGCACATGCCTGTAGTTCCAGCTACTTGGAAAGCTGAGGCAGAAGGATCACCTTAGCCCAGCAGGTCGAGGCTGCGGTGGCCATGAGCATGCCACTGCACTCCAGCCTGAGTGACAAAGTGAGATTCCAACTAAAAAAAAAATATATATATATGCATAACTTCTTTATTTTGTATTAAAGCACATAACTACAGATGTATTCATCAATCATTTTGTATTGAAAGGTCCTTTTGAGCATCAGTCTACTGATAAGAGTTCTACTTCAGTGTCCTCACATAAATCATACCAGAATATATTCATATCTTTAAAATGGAGCAAAAGCTGACACTTGAAGTGTGTCCCTCCACTTGTGATTCTCCTCAGTATCTAACAGTTGTCTTGCCCATACCTAATTCAATAGCCGTTTAAATGATTCACACTTGTCTAGTCATCCTAAAGCAGCCACTTAGTTTTTATGGAATCAGTCACTCTTGCACACACATTTCATCAGCTTTCATAATAGTGTCACGCAAATAGAATGACAGATACAACTGACACGAACAGGTTGGGACTAGATACTGTACAATTGGTTCTTCATGAGTATAAAACTTAAAAGCAAGGAGCAAAGGTGTACATGTTGGTAGCTGGCTGAAAGGGACTGTGCCTGTCAATTGTGGAGGTTGGTGGAGGGAACAGAAAACCTGGAGTAATCCTTGTTGCTAAAGTGGAGTTATTTAAGAGTGCTTCTGGTATAATATACATCTTTCTTTCTTTCTTTTTTTAAAATTCTAGATTCGATCCATATGGAAAGAATAAGTTCTCCACTTGCAGAATCTGTAAAAGTTCTGTGCACCAGCCAGGTTCTCATTACTGCCAGGGCTGTGCCTACAAAAAGGGTAAGTTTCTTTTAATACCATTTTTCTTTTCATATCAAACTGACTTCATTTGCTGCCGATTTGGATAACAGAAAAGGAATCGCCTTTCATAACTTTTATTAGTCAAATACTCTTTTTTCCTAAGGCAAAATATAATTTAAAGCTTACTTATAGTTAATAGGATACACACACACACATACATATTTTCCTCTAATGCTGTTAACTTGTGTTTTAAGCTTCAGGATTGACTTTAAATTGATTTCTTTATTTGATTGCTCACATATTTTCTTTTGTTTCAGGCATCTGTTCCATGTGTGGAAAAAAGGTTTTGGACACCAAAAACTACAAGCAAACATCTGTCTAGGTGTATTGATGAAGTTTCTGGCTTTCTATATGATTTTACTTTCTTGAATTTTGAAGGCATAACAGTTGTTCAACTTACAAAATAACATGTTTTAAGACAAATAATTAAGCTTAAACCAGGGAAGTTGATTGGTGTTTAGTCTTTTGCTCTCAAGAAATTCTGAACAGCAACAGTGTAACTTGTCTTCTGTCTTAAGTGATTATTTCTCTTAAGAAGAGCATCTTACTGAACTAAAATAAGTGACACATTTGATGAAAAACATTTTCCGGTTCTGTATGCACTTTTATCGATCAGTATTCACATAATTCTTATCCCCTTTACTTTATTTATAGATATTATAAAAGTAAGAAGGATATTATGGATATTTTTCTTTGAACCTGGCATCCAGGCTTAACCATTCTTCCCTCATTCTCTTACTGGCTGCTCAGTTCTTAGACTCAGCCCTCTCTTAAATAATTGCAGTTTCATAAGAAATTTAAATGTCTGAGGCCATTATTGCTGAATAATTTTCTTAGTTATTAGCCAAGACCCAAATCAAAGACAAGCTGGATTTGTGATTATTTAAATTTGTTCTTATAGTCAAAATACCAACTCCTTTCATATGTGAACAAAAACACAAGAAACACCCATACGTTCAAATGAATACACTGGATTTCAGAAAAATACATATTACACATATTAACTTGAATGAAGTGTTCATACATGTAATGTGTAATGAAAATGAATCCCCACTCTGAGAAAAGCTCTTTGAAACAAAAACCAAACTTTTTTTATCTCCTCCCCTGCCCCCCTAAAAAAGAAATAAATAGAACAAAGCAAACATCTTGACTCTTTTTTAAAATAATTCAGACTACTAAAGGACTACTTCGAGGTTTCAAACAAATATTGTTTTTTATGCTGCCTTCAGAGGTTCAGGACTTCTGTTTTAAAACCTGCAGCCTACAATGGAAGGCTAAAAAGTATTCCCTATTTTCAGCTGCAGTATTTATAAATACATTCTACTATAAAATGTGCAGAATAGATAGTGTAGTAATATACATGGTATAGGTAGCGCATTTTTATTTGTCTAAAATTACTATGAAAAGTAAAGTTTTAACCGTTTATCTATAAGTTCTTTCAAATAGTGTTTTTCTATGATGCATTGTTATTTATTCATATCCAGAAAAAAATACAAGGATAAAGTGAAACATAATAAATAACAATATCTCAGAGCAGGAAGTATCTGCTCATGCTTTTATCAGTTTTAGGTTTTTAATTATAAGGGAGTACTAGCAGGGCCTGGTTGAAGACTGTGCCAAGTCCATTGAAGACAGGGTCAGTTGACTGAGAAAAGTGCATTTCTCAGGGATCAAAATATTTTTTTTAAAGGAAGACAAAAAAAGACACCATGGCCGGCCGTGGTGTCTCAAGCCTGTAATCCCAGCACTTTGGGAGGCTGAGTCAAGAGGGTTGCCTGAGTCCAGGGATTCGAGACCAGCCTGGGCAACTTAGTGAGACCTTGTCTCTACAATAAATCATAAAATTAGCCAGGCGTGGTGGCACATGCCTGTAGTTCTAGCTACTCGGAAGGCAAAATAAAATGACAATCACTAAGACTAAACATAAATTTTATCAAAGTAAATGTGAAAGTGCTGAAAAGTCTTAACTTTTAAAATCTCAGATTGAGCCGGGCTTGGTGGCTCAGCCTATAATCCCACCCTTTGGGAGGCTGAGGTGAGTGAATTGCCTGAGCCCGCGGGTTCAAGACCCGCCTGGGCAACTTGGCAAGACCTCATCTCTACAATAAATTTTAAAAAACAATAAGCCGGGCGTGGTAGCGCACGCCCATAGTTCCAACTACTTGGAAGGCTGAGGCAGAAGGATCGCCGGAGCCCAGCAGGTCAAGGCTGCGGTAGCCGGGAGCGGCCACTGCACTCCAGTCTGGGCGACAGAGTAAGACTCCAACTCAAAAATAAATAAATAAATAAAATAAAATCTCAGATTGTATTTTAAAAGATACTAGAAGCATCAATAGAAAAATACACTTTATACATCCATTCATTAGAACATACAGCTATCAAAATGATAGAATAATATGTGTGCAGAAGTTATATATTCATATGGAAAACACTGGAAGCAGATAGTACCATTTTTTCTCTGGAGTGGGTCTAAGGGTTGAGAAAAGAGGATTGGCCCTTTACATCCTTGTGCCAACCTTTGAATACCTCTTAGCTCCTGGTTCCCTTACCTGGGGAAGGTGTGATATTAATAATTGTGGTATTCTAGAAATGCACATATATGCGTATATTTGTTTTGGGAATTTTAAGTAAAGGAAAATGTATACTTTATTCTGCAATTTGACTTTTAAAAAAATGTTACCCATATTTGCTTTATCATTTTCTCTCCATCTCTTTGTGTGTGTGTGTTGGAGTCTCACTCTGTCACCCAGACTGGAGTGCAGTGGCCGCTCCCGGCCACCGCAGCCTTGACCTGCTGGGCTCTGGTGATCCTTCCACCTCAGCCTTCCAAGTAGTTGGAACTACATGTGCGTGCTACCACGCCCAGCTAATTTTTGATTTACTGTAGAGATGTCTCGCCAAGTTGCCCGGGCGGGTCTCAAACCCACGGGGTCAGGCAATTCACTCACCTCGGCCTCCATCTCTTGATACATATTTTTTCCCTTGGCCCACTAGGGAGTACATTACAGATATCATACCCTTGTTCCTTCAATACTGCATATGGACTTCATAAGAACAAGCATGCTGACTTACCTAAGTACAGTTACTGAGTTGATAAAATAATCTAAAGTCCATAGTCAATTCCATTTGTTGTGTGTCAGTTTTTTCCAGCCACAGTATCCAGTCCAGGATAGTATGTTGTATTGTCATGACTCTTTTTTGTTTGTTTGTTTTGAGTCAGAGTCTTACTCTGTCACCCAGGCTGGAGTGCAGTAGCAAAATCACAGCTATCACAACCTTGAACAGTTGGGCTCAGGCAATCCTTCCACCTCAGCCTCCCGAGTTGCTGGGACTACAGGCGTGTAGCTAATTTTTTTATATTGAAGAAACAAGCTCTCGCCATGTTACCTAGGCTGGTCTTAAACTCCTGAGCTCAGGCACTCCTCCTGCTTCGGCCTCCCAAAGTGCTGGGATTATAGGTGGGAGCCACTGTGCCCAGCCTTGTCATGACTCTAATCTGAAACAGTTTCTCAGCCTTTCTTTGTCTTTTGTAATATTGATATATTTAAAAAATACAGGATAGCTAAAGGATAGACTATCCCTCAAGTTGGGTTTTCCCGATGTTTCCTCATGATTAGATTCGGGTTGTGCAGTGTGGGATGAAATACTGTAAGTGGTGTATCCTCCGGGTTCATAGAATGTCCCTTTCTCCTTTATTGGTGATACTAATTTTGATCCCTTGAGTAAGATGTCCAGTTTCTCCACCAGACAGTTAACGGTTTTTTCCTTTCGCAATTAGTGGGTAATTTGTGAGGAGAAACTTTAAGACCATGTTAATTCTATTCCTCATCAAACCTGCCCCTCCTAGAGTTAGCATCCTTTGATGATTCTTGTCTGAATAAATTTTTACTAGGGTGTTGGTAAAATTGTGATTTATCTAACTCTGTTATTTTTTCTGTATTTATTAGTTGTCACTCTACTGTAAGAAGGAGGTTTCCCTTTATCATCAGCTTAAAATAAGTGCTTTTTTTTTTTTTTTTTTTTTTTGAGTTGGAGTCTCACTCCACCACCCAGGCTGAAGTGCAATGGCACACTCATGGCCACCCCAGCGTCGACCAGCTGGGCTCCAGCTAATCCTTCTGCCTTCCAAGTAGGCTGAACTACAGGTGCGTACTACCATGCCCAGCTAATTTTTTATTTATTGTAGAGACAAGTTGCCCGGGCTGGTCTCAAACCCACGGGCTCAGGCAATTCACTAGCCTTGGCCTCCCAAAGTGCAGGGATTACAGGCTGAGCCAAGCCCAGTCAAGTACTTTTTTTTTTTAGAGCCAACTGAGTGTTCATTATAGATGTGATGCCTCTTTACCCCAAATACTTAAGTTTGTATTTCCTAAGATCAAGGGTGTTTTTCTTCAGAAAATTTACATTACTGTTATCTAATAGTTTTTTATTTTGCTAATTGTTTCAATAGTGTCTTTTGAAGGGAAGAAGAAATCTGGTCTGGGATCCCATCTGTGATATTTCTTCATAATTAGACTGAGCTTAGGCATTCTGGGCAGGGATACCACAGAAGTGACACTGTGTCCTTTCACTGTGTCATATCATAGTATCATTTGGCCCCATACAGGATGCTTGTATGCTTGATCACTTGTTAGTATGCTTGATCATGTGTTTTAGGTGGTATCTACTAGATTTCTCCACTGTACAGTTTCTGGTTGTTTTTTCTCAATTAGTAAGCATTTTATTGGAAAATACTTTGAGACTGTAAGTTTTCTGTTGCTCAGTGAATATTTGCACACTAATTTTACCATCCATTGATATCTCATGGTTGAATTCATTGTTACCCTGGTGGTCGCCAGGTGGTGATTTTTCCCAATTTTATCATTCCTTCTATGTTTATTAGGTCGCATTCTACTGTAAGGAAAATCTTTGTTTTTCTCTCTCATTCATACGAGTATTTTCGTATAAACGTGTGGATTCCTGTAGTATTCAGTCTGTTACTGTCATCTGTTTTGACATCAGATTGTCCCGGATTTGGCCAGTGTGAGATCTTCCAAGCTGGCTTCTGGGTCTTTTTGATATGTTATTATTCTTTGAGCACTTCCTTACTTTCTAACACAGGATGTCCCAAGTTATCTTAGTTTTTGTTTTCTTTCCCACCTCAGCCCTGGAATTAGCCACTTCTCCAAATATCCTTAGTTTATTTTCATGGAGAATGCTATTTAGAAACAGAGATCTGAGCCTCCTGGGTTGTCATTGCCCTTTGACAGAAAGATCTAGGGAACGTATTCGGGGTGCCAATGTCCACACATTTTAAGACATGTTATCTATGTGTTACTTTTCAAAGTTCAATTATGGTAACAATGAAGTATGATGTTTGTTCAAAAGATGGCATTAAAGAATGCTAGCGTCACCATGAGACAGGCAGGACAGTCAAAGAAAATGGCAGTCGAAGAAAATGTGCTCCACTGTTGTCATTGGAGGAGCGCAAGATCAATTTGAAATGGTATTTGAAATTCAAGAACTTTGCAGTACAATGACAATGGAGGCCTGAGCATGCAACAGAATCTCCCAATACGCCTAACAACTGCATGCATTCATGATAAGTTTGAGATGCATGGTACTGTGTGCGATGTGCTCAAGGGAAGATTCAGGTGGCCTCGCACAGCAAAAAGTCTTGTGGTAGTTTGCCGTCATC